TCTCAAAGTGTGATCCCAGAACAACAGCATCAGCAATACCTGGGAATTTGTTAGGAATGCAAAATCTTGGGTCTCCCACCCCAGATTGGCTCAGTGAGAACCTCTAAATGTGGGGCCCAGCAAATCTGTATACAGTTCACCCTTGAACAGCATGTGGGTTAGGGGTGCCAACTTCTTGCATAGTTACAAATCCAAGTATAACTTGACCCCCCAGAACTTAACTCTTAATAGCCTACTGTTAACAGGAAGCTTTACTGGTAACTGAACAGTTAACACATATTTTGTACATTATGTGTATTACAGACTGTATGCTTGTAATGGAGTAAGCTGGAGAAAAGAAACTGATAAAATCATAGAGAAAAGAAAATTTCTAGGACTGTATTGCATTCGTTGAAAAAAATCCATATATATGTGGGCCCTGACGATTTAAACCCATGTTCTCAAGAGTCAGCTGTATTAGCAAGCCCTCCAGGTGATTCTGAAGCATGCTGAAGTTTGAGAAGCCCTTGTTGCGGTGGTGGTGGTGCCCAGTCTTAGCTGCGTATCAGTATCATCGGCGGGGGGGGGGGGCTGTTAAGGATCTGGATGCTCAGGCTCCACCCCAAACTGATTTATACCCAAGTCTCTTGGAGTGCGACTTAGGCATCAGTTGTTGTTTTTTTGTTTTTTTTTAAACCACCCAGGTGATGCCGGTGTTCAGCCGGGGTTGAGGTGCACTGTCTTAGTGGGTAGGGACGGTGTTCCCTCAAAGGAGCTGTAAACATTTGGGATCACTGGTTAGACATTACTTAGATGAACGTAAGTGTGGAGACGAGGGTCTGGGGGACTGAAGGTGGAAAACATGGGGCAGGGATGAGACTAATGTCTAGCGCCTCCCTAGTGATTCATTGTTTCACAACACAAGGTGAAGGAGAGCAAAGGAGGAAGCAAAGTTTCCTCTTGCCTTCTGCAGGGGGAATTGGAAGGCAGCGGGCCCTGGCATCGGCCCTCTCACATGAACTAGCCTGCACAAAGATCCTTCAGACAGAGCTTCTTGTCCTCTGTTTCATCTGTGAGGGAACGAAGTCTGGAAAGGTCAGCAGCCGGGAAGTGGCATGACCAGACTGAGACATGATCATTTGAATCGCACAGCCCACATCCTCCCTAAGGTTTCCCCCGGCCAGTTCCCCAAATTCTGGCTCCTTCAAGTGTCTTTTGATGTCTCACCTGTTACGTTTTGTTGTATTTGCCTTTTTGTTTGGAACAGATAAAAAATAATGAACCTTTGATCAACGTGCTTTACAAAGTGCTGAAGAAGTCAGCACGGGGCTGTCGGCCCAGGAGAAGCGTAAGATGATCTGATCTGTGTCTCCAAGCGGGGCCATTCCATTGCTTCTGGCTCAGTGCTGACCTCATCACTTGCTTAACCAGGGGCTCTCCTGACCGCCCCCAGGCTTCCTGCAAGTCATTTTGGTTTATTTTTTTCTCCTACTGAAGCTCCCTTCAGCATTTTGGCTGGTGCACCAGGCTGAGCCTCTCATCTGCGATGTTCTGTGACTCCATCTTTTGTGTTGCCTTGGGATTGTGGTGGGGTGGGGGCTTGCCTGGCTTGCCACCAGCTTGTGTTGTGTTCCCATTTTCTTTCATCTGCCTCCATGGTGAGGACTGACCTCGACAGAGACCAGTGTGGTCTGTGTAGTCAGGCGTGAGTTCCTTTAGAAGTAATAGCAGTTTCTGGTCACCGTGGAGGAGCTGGGGTATCCTGAGATCCCACCATGGCCCTGGGATTAGGGTGGCTTTTCTTCAGGGCAGGGTATTGGTATTTGAAAACAGTCTAAAGCAGGACTAGAACAAGACGATTCTCCCCTGCCCACTCCCCAACCCCCCACCCCAGACGGTTCCCTTTGACTGATGCAGAGGTAGTACCTGAAATATGGCCAGCTTTTATAGCTTTCCAAGGGAGGCTGCGGGTTGGGAAGCAGATGCTATGTGTAGTCATCCTGAGCCCCGAGAAAACGTGTGTTGGGATGTGATGGAGGGTGAGGTAAAATGCCTGGGTGGCCTTCAGTTCTTTTCTGGTGCACAGACTCTTTCAAAGGGATAAATACCCACTGACTTCCACTTTTTCTGGTGACAGAGATGCTGGACACCCATAGTTGACATTTTAAATGGATCTAAACATTGCTATCACAAAGCACAGTTTTAAAAGGAAAATCAGACGTAGTAAACTACTTGTGCATACTTGTAGTAGCCTTGATTCTCTGGAACAAAGCTAAATTCAGAAGTTTCAAGGACCTCTGAGCTATGTAAACACTTTCCTGAAGCTCATGCTCTAAAGCATGCCCTTTACTCGAGCTCCCTCTGTTTTGTTACATTCACAGGTTCATTAAATAGACATTTCCCAAATATCCTCAATATGCTGGACTTTCAGGATACAGAGAAGATATGAAAAATGTGTCCCAGTTCCCACGGTCACCCCTAATCGGGTCATTGTTCACTGAGGGGAGACAGAGCATATCATCTGACGTGCTAAGGCCCTTAGACTGGAAGACACAAACTGTGGGAGGACCTCCCCTGAAGCCACCAGAACCACTGGAGGGAGGGAGTTCTGGAAAAACAGCAAGTGTCACCTCTGTTGACTCTCCCGTCCTAATAGACTCAGCCGTTTGAATTCCTAACTTTCAGCACCTTAAATGTAGCCCTTAAATGGGAACAAGAGAGAGTTACTTCTTAGAAAAGAAGGCGTACTAATATTCTGAGAGGGAAAAGAAACATTATGTGTCAATCTACAATGGAAATGAAAGCACAGAAATTTAAAAGCATTTAATCAAGGGCCAAATAGTCCCCAAACACTGACTTCTAAGAAATTCCGTATCACTGATTTTTATAATGACTCTGATTCATCCCCGAAAAGTTGAATTTATATTCAGTTCCATGGAGGCAGCGTAGGACTGACTTTTAGAAACCTTTCCATCAAAAAGTTTAAAAGGTTCAGCTTTCTCAAAATGCCCTTTTTGTGTAGAACACGTCATTCCTTTCTTGACGGTGTTGGGTAGATGAGGCACTGCTCAATTAGATTCTCTGCCTTGCTATTTCAGTATCAAAAAGATAGTATCTGTTAAAAGCTCTAGTGAAATAGAGGGAAGAGTTTTGCTAGGAGGAACAAAATCTCCACAGCATATCTCAATTTGAAAATGATTTCTTCTTAGGAAGTGAGCCAAGGGTCAGCCCCTGGAGAGTAGACAGGCTCATTGTCTTCTGCTTTGATGAGGGACTGTGACACAGAGTGACCTCCTTACTTTCACCTGCTGGGTTCCCCTGAGTTTAAAGGCTAAGTTCTGCCTGGAGGTCAGCTGTTCCTGGTTCATCAGAGTTAATTCCACCCCTCTCCCCTCCTCCACTCCTCTTCCTGCCTTTCCCAGCCATTGTCCTTGAAGCAGCCAGCGGTTTGTTTGTGGATTGTGGCAATAGTCCATGTGTCCTTGACTGTGTGTGTAGATGTATGTACACATACATAATATGCCAGTCTGAAGAGCAGAATTTGGCTGGAGCTGTACTTTTTCCAGGAATTCTACTGACCCATATGTGTTTGCCTTTGACCTACCTCCAATGCAATAAGCATTTGCCCAGTGCCTTCCAGCATACCAGGCTTTATGTTCAGGCTGACTTTACCAAGATATAAAAGACAGTGGACCCTGCCCTCTGCTGTGTGACCACAGGGAACATGGGAATGGGTTGGCGTTGTGTCTGCAGCTAGACTCTGTCCTCAGCCTAAGGCATGGACAGGGCATCATCCCTTGACCTTGACCTTGGCATTTGCTGATGATGAGAGGAAGGAGGAGTGCAGGACAGCTGGGGACATGATTGGCTTGAGTTGTGAGGGGAATGTTTGCTAATATATTTCTGCTTCTTATTCACACAACTTACTGGACCTCTCAGATGGAGTAGGGGGAAAGTGAGGGCCATCTCTCCAGCAACTGTCTGTCCATCCACACTGGAACCCCTCGCCTAATATACACACCATCTGTCTCATGGAAGAGATAGGTTCTACCCTCTGTTTCTGTGGTCACATCCATAAAATGGAATTCAGCAAGATGGCTTTCTGTGCATGGGACACATTCGACCTGGCTCTCGCTGACCATGGCTTGGCCGTGGGGGTACATCTGTGGAAAAGTCTCCCCAGCCCCATCCCACACAGCTTTTGGCAAGAAGGAAATTAGGGGAAGTGAAAACATGGGCTGAAGAGTTGGGTTTAGCTTTGTAGGGGTCAGTGGGAGATGCCAGCATGGTGCCCACATGGGGTCAAGGGAAGGATGGACAATGTTGTGAATGCCCACTGACCCATAAGTTTAGATGATTTTTGTCTCCTGATTTTGGTTTCCATTCTTGAGAGGACAGGGTAACTTGTGACGTATACAAATATGACCTGCCTCAGTTATTTAGGGATCAATTGAAAATCCCAACCAGGAGTTACCTAGGTTCCTTCATCCCTTGACCTGATTTTCTTCCCAAATGGTATAGGGTGAGAAAGACTGACCTTGCTCAGAGGGGAGGTTAGCAGCTCAGAGGCTTCCTTAAACTAAGTCTTGGAGATGCCCCGGGGACTCACAGGTTCCTCTGGTCCACCTCTCTGCCCTGGGCTGGGGGCCATAGACTTCTGTAACTTGGGTTGACCCCAGGTTCGGTAGCGAAACTCTCTTTTAAATCTTCCAAGATTCATACTGAACTCATTTTGGGCAAATTTTAGCTTCCACAGTCAATGATACTAGAACTTGAATGTCTTCTTTTTCTTTAAATTTGAGAAATTTACAGGTGCTTCTTGGATCACAAAAAGGTTTTGGTTTTTCCCTAAAACGAAGTGAGCATAAAAATCAGGTCTCGCCTGAGTTTTTACCCGTTTCATGCCATGACCCTACCACCAAGACTTCCACACTTGTCCATCATGGGGCTAGCTAGCTCTTCTTCTCGAGATCTGATCCTGAATCTTGTGGTTAATCTCCTTTAAATTGTTCACCTCCCAGATGACGGGCCGGGACCTGGTCAAGGATCGGAGTCTGAAGCCGGTGAAGATCGCAGAGAGTGACATTGACGTGAGTGAGCAGGGCAACAGTCTGAACCTCTGGCTGCCTGTTGCCCCCAGACCCGAGGCGGGCAGCTTCAGGCAGGGCTTGGATGGTTCCATAGCCAAAGGCTTTCTGATCACACTTCAAGGTCGTGCCCTTTTCTCATCATCCCAGGCCCTCTCCAACCTGTTCTTGCTCACAGGTCAAACTGAGCATCTTCTGTGAACAAGACAGGATCCTCCAGGACTTGGAAGACAAGATCCGAGCCCTCAAGGAGAACAAAGTATGCATCGGTTTTGCATAACCTTGGGCTGAGTGGAGGGGGTTTTGTCATGCTGTCTTTCCTCAGATATAGATTGGACTCGTATGTCACAGGTACTCATTTATCCAGAATGGGTATTAGTTTATTCAGAACAATATGTTTGCTTCCAGGGGCATTTCTGCCTAAACCTTAGGCAGGAAAGAGGGAGAAAAGAGGAGGAAATCTTAGGGGGAGACTTAAGCCTGTTTATTCCAAATGCGACCTCCTCCTCTTCCACCTTAATTCTGCTCTGGCCTTCCTCTCCTTGGAGGCCTCGTGAGGTCAGCCTGGGAGAGGAGGGCTCTGCTGGCTTATGTGTGCTGAGCCCAAGTGCCTGAACTCCATGGAAGAGGGCTGCCTTGGAGAAAGTGGCCACACTTGTAACAGGACAGAAGCTGTCTTTTCCTAAAGCTCCTTTCCTCCTAGGATCTGGGTTATGGAGAAAGCAAGTCTGGATGGGAGGGAGGAAGAGGCCAGAGGCTGCCCATGTTTGGTTTCTTGGATACTTATTATGATTTTTTTTTCTTTTTTGAACTTTAATAAGGTATTATACTTGTGATGCTGGAGGTTCATAACATGCCCTTTTCCCCAAGAAAAGAGACTTTTCCATCTACTCTTTGATGTATCCTCATAATTTATCCATAAAGAGTGGATGACCTTATGCCCACTTCATAAATGAGAAAACTGAGGCAGAGAGCTGTTAGGTGGTTCGTCCCAGGAGCCCACCCAGTGGGCAGAGTTAGAGCTGGAATCAGAGCCCCCAACTAGGCTGTGGGCCTTTCAGTCTCAGATCCAGCAGGTTTGCTTAGTTCCTGGCATGAGATGGGGAGGCCTCCAGGGGCTGTCCTGCTCTCCTCTTGCTCTTTGGCCCTTCCCTGCTGTAGGACCAGCTGGAGTCTGTGCTGGAGGTTTTGCACAGACAGATGGAGCAGTACCGAGACCAGCCCCAGCACCTGGAGAAGATTGCTCACCAGCAGAGGTTGCTGCAGGAGGACCTTGTCCACATCCGGGCAGAGATCTCCAGAGAGTCCACTGTGTGTAGAGGGTGTGAGGGTGGCAGACACTCTCCTGCCCCCATCCCCCAGCCCCAAGATGGGCTGGGCCAGGGGCTGGGCAGGGGGCTGGGCAAGGGGCTGCTTCTCCTAGCTCACAAGCTATAGTTGAGTTGGTGGCCAGGGACAAGAGTCTTGGAGTAGCAGAACTTCTCCAGGCTGCCTCCTGATAGTAGCTCACCTTGCCTGGGGGTGACATGTCTGTCTCTGCTGGTACCTCAGGATGCTTTCCATCAGTGACTGCTGTATGGCTACGGTGACACCCAAGGGACCAGATTTTCCTGATCTGTGTGCAGTTAATTCCAAAGCATCAGAATTTCTACTGTATTTGTCCATCTGATGTGGTGCAGGCCCTTTCTGCCAGGGCTGGGGACCAGAGCATCTCCAGTGGTGGGAGAGGGGACAGTTCGACAGTTCCAGTAGCCAGGGTCAGAGCAGGAATGAGAAGACAAGCCTTGTCTCTCTCCTGCCAGGCCTGCCTGAGAATCGCTGGGCTGCCGTTTCCCCGTCCATCTTCCCCTGGCTGGGTCAGCAGTGGTCAAGAGTGCAGGTGCTCATGGGGCCGTCTGGGGGACGGGGGATAACTAAGACTCAGGAGCATTTTCTTGGCCAACAGGAGATGGACAATGCCTGGAACGAGTACCTGAAGTTAGAGAGTGACGTGCAGCAGCTGAAGCAGACCCTGCAGGAACAACACAGAAGGGCCTTTTTTTTCCAGGTGACCCAAGGGCTCTTCATCCCTTCTGAACTCTGTTCCTTCTGAGGGACTTCACCTGTAGAGCTGTGGGGCTGTGGGGCTGTGGGGATTAGGTGTGTGGCCTGGGAAAAACCTGCTGTCCCTCCACCCACCATTAGGAGCTGATTCCCAGAAAACCTGGTCCGCGGCCCTATGGAAAATACTCTTGCCTGTGGCTCAGGGCTGGCCTGCCAGGTCCCCCAGAAGTTGTCCATCTCCTGCTGCTGTTTCCGCCCCCCCCATGATTTCCCTGTATCCAAGCTAACCTTTTCCTATTCTTATTTGGTACCCCAGCACTTGGCATAGTGGCCTGAAAACACTAGGTGAATATTGTTGACAATGTCTTTCAAATGATTATTTCTAATTACTAGTTCCTTAAACTGTTCCATCCCATTAAACTTGTCTTCTTGGATCTTCTTTAATTAATTTTAGCAGTGATTTTTTTTTTTAGCTTTTTATTTCTTATGTTTCTGTAACTATAAAAATAACACATGAATGCATCTCTCTGTAAAGGCCAAACAGTAAGAAGCAAAAGCAAAAAATGAAATGAAAGCTCCTTTGCCTCCCTTCCTTTCCCATCACCTTCCCTGTGTGTGATCCGTGCCATCACTGTGTGGCGTCGCCTTCCACACCACTTTTTGTCTGTTTTCAAACATATGTCCATCCACAGGATAGTGTAATGTATCTGGCAGTGGGAGTTGGGTTTACTTAAAGAGGGATCATACGTACACATTGTTCGGGAATTTGCTTTTTTGTCATAACTTCATGTTATGCAAATCTTTCCAGGAGAGATACCCAAGTTTATGTTGTCTGATATTTAAATGTTAACTATTTAAATGTATACATAAATTAATTGAAAGTAACTAAAATTAAAGATACAGTGCTCCGTCACGCTAGAATCATTTCCAGTGCTCAGTAGCCACCTGTGTCTAGTGGCTGCTATATTGAACAGCACAGAGAATAAGATTTCCATAATCTCAGAAAGCTGTGTAAAGTAAAAGAAATCAGTTCTTAGCTGCTGCATAGTATTTTGTAGTCTTGATATGCCATATTTTAGCTGTTCTTTTCTGATGGGCATTTAAGTTATTTGCAATATTTTGCTTTTATAAATGGTACCACAGTGAGCATCTGTCTAGCTGCCCTTTTAAGCTCATTTATAAGCTTTCATCTAAGATGGGCTCTGAGGGTGGACTTGCTAGACTGAAATGAGTGCACATTTTAAATGTTGGTGGATGCTGGCCAGTCACCCTCTAAGAGGCTGCACTCATTTGCCCTCCCACCCGCAGTGAATGAGGGTGCTGAACCTCTATCCACTCTTCTCCAGCACTTGACGGTATCAGTCTTTTTAGTTTTTGCCAGTCCACTGGTTGAAAAGGACATCTAGTTTTAATTTGCATTTATTTAATTACTGGTAGGTTAGACATCTTTTTATATGGTCATTGGCCATTTGTGTTTCTACCATGCCTTATTTCATGGTGATTTAACATACTGCAGTCCCAGAATCCCTTTTTCTGCTCTGGAAAACAAATGGGTAAAATGTACAAGTCTTGTCACAGACTCCCTGAAGTACTTAACCATGTAAGTAAGTTACAAAGAGGCTAGTTTGAAGCCTAGCTCCTGCAACTCGACTTCCACCTAGCCTAGTGGCATTGCTCGTGCTTTCCCTGAGCACCACTTTGTGATCTGGGAAGCTCACAGAGCCCTTCTTTGAACGAGCTTTGTGCTAACTTCTTTGGTGTAATTCTAGGCCAGGCAAGCTGTTAGAGTCCTGAATAAGTCATGAAGAGTGGAGATATGCGTGCAGCCCCATATACACATTCTCAGGCAGGGGGCTTGGAAACTTGCCCCCTTTAGCCAGGTTTGGCTGTGAGAAAATTCACAGGCTTTTCAGTAAAGGTGAGTGGCTTTATTTGTAAAGATCTTCATGACTACCTGCCCTGGCAAGCCAGAGGATAAAAGAACATTGAGGTAACCGGGAGAGGCAGTGATAGATGAGGCTGCCTGTGCGTGTCCCTGCTTCTGGACAGTAAGTGCAGGCGTCTGCTGAATGCAGTCCATAGGAGCCTGTCTGCCCAGCATGGTGTGAGGGTCCAGGGATGAAGCACCACCCCCTGTGCTCCAAAAGCTTCCTTCACCTTGTCCTTCAGTTCTGAAATTCCATTGTTCTTGGAGAACCTTAGAGGCTCTCTGGCTTTTGCTTGTCCTTGGTCTTCTCTTACATGTGGGGGTGACAGAAGGGCTAAATAGGGGCAGGACTGCAAACTGACAGGTAAAAGTATGCCAGATAGACTGCTGGAGGAGTGGGGAGAGAGTTGATTTTATTCCGATGCTCCTCCTTTACCTGTTCCCAGCACCCTGCTTGGGGACCTCCGCTCCTGAGATAATCCTGTTAGCTTACACACACACACACACACACACACACACACACACACTCTTTCACACTCTGGGTTCAATACCATGTCTGTTTTAGGACACTTGTGCTTTGGGGTGGAGCTGAGCATCAAGCCCTTTCCTTATTTATTAGCCCTGAGGATGTGCGTTGGTGTTGGAAGGGTGGAGAGAGTATGAGAATGTGAGCTCCCTTAGGAGGGAGGCTTCGGACATCTGTTGTCACAGCTGTTGGGCAGCATTGATCAGGGAGTTTTATGTGATTGGGCCTTTCTTCACTCATCATCCATGTGCTGAGAACCTGTGAAGATACACCAAGGGCACATAGTCTACTTGCTGAATCAGGCAAGTCCCTAAGTATCACACATGCAAGAATTTTTCCACTGGAGGGTGGCTGGGTGCCTTGAGAGGAGATGGGGTGTGAAGCCTTTGTTTTTAAGTCTATGGGGAGTGATCAAAACTACATTGTCCCATGACAATTTAAAAATTAAAAAAAAAATTTTGATGTTTAAACAACTCTATTAAAAGGTGCCCACAAATTAATATCCAAAATATGTAAAGGACTTATACAAGTCAATACCAACCCCCCCAAGACCCCAGAGAACAAAAAACATTTAAAAATGGGCAGAGGACCCTAATAGACATTTTGCCAAAGACATACAGATGGCCAACAGACACATGAAAAGATGGTCAACATCACTTATCATTAGGGCAATGCAAATCAAAACCACAATGAGGGGGCGCCTGGGTGGCTCAGTGGGTTAAGCCTCTGCCTTCGGCTCAGGTCATGATCTCAGGGTCCTGGGATTGAGCCCCGAGTTAGGCACTCTGCTCAGCAGGGAGCCTGCTTCCCCCTCTCTCTGCCTGCCTCTCCGCCTACTTGTGATCTCTCTCTCTCTCTGTCAAATAAATAAATAAAATCTTGGGGGGAAAAAAAACCACAATGAGATTACCTTACACCTGTCGGAATGGCTAAAATAAAAAAGACAAGAAATAAATGTTGGTGAAGATGTGGAGAAGGAGGACCCTCGTGTACTGTTTGGCGGGCGTGTAAATTGGTGCAGCCACTCTGGAAAACAGCATGGAGGGTCCTCAGAAAATTAGAAATACCATATGATCCAACCATTCCTATACTGGGTATTTAGGCAAAGGAAATGAAAATACTAATTTGAAAAGATACATGCACCCCTATGTTTACTGAAGCATATTTACAATAGCCAAGAAATGGAAGCAACCTAAGTGTCAACTGATAGACACATTTTTATGAGAAGATGTGTTATACACACACAATGGGATGTTAGGCAGTTATAAAAATGATGAGCTCACGCCATTAGCAAGAACATGGATGGAGAGTATTATGCTAAGTGAAAGAAGTCAGACTGAGAAAGACAAATACCATATTATTTCAGTCATGTGGAATCTAATAAACAAAAGACTAAACAAAAAGGAATCAGACCTCTAAGCACAGAGAACAAACTGATGGTTGCCACAGGGAAGAGGGTTGGAGGCGATGCGCAAAACAGGTGAAGAGGAGTGGGAGGTACAGGTTTCCAGTTATAGAATGAGTAAATTGTGGGAATAAAAGCCACAGCACAGGGAATATAATAGTAATTGCGATAGCACTGTATCATGACATATAGTAGCTACACTTGTGGTGAGCATAGTGTAAGGGTTAGAGAAGTTGAATCACTATGTTGTACACCTGAAACTAATGTAACACTGTGTGTCGACTATACTCAGTAAAATGCCCAGAGTCCCTTAATCATGATTAAACCTGCTCACTGCTTTCTAGGACCTGTCCCCATCTGATTTTGTTTGTGACTTGTGAGAGTGTGCATAAGTTTTATCACATAATTCACATACCATAAGATTCACCCTTTTAAAATCTACAGTTTAAGGGTTTTTAGAATATTCAGAGTTGGGCAACTATTGCCACAATCAATTTTATAACATTTTCATCATCCCCCAAAAGAAACCCTCTCTTTATTAACAGTCCCTCCTCGTCCACACCCCCAACTGCCCAGCCTTGCTCTAGCCAACCATATTCTATTTTGTGTTTCTTTGGATTTACCTCTTCTGGACATTTTATGTAAGTGAAATCATATAAAATGTGGCCTGTCTAGCTTCTTTCACACGGCATAAACATTTTCAGGGTTGGTCCGTGTTGTAACACGTATCGGTACTTCATTCCTTTTTCTTGCCAAGGATTCATTGCCCATTGTGCTTTTAAATGAACCTCAAATCCCAGGATTCAGCTCTGTCTTTTCAAAGATCCTCTTTATATTCTGGGGATGGTGTAACCTCTAGTCTTTGCCTTCTCTTCCCTTCTGCCGTGGTTGCCTGAAACAGTCTGTTTTTGTTTTTTGTTTTTTTTTTTAATCACGGTAAAATATGCATAACATAAAGCTTCTTACCTTAGCCGTTTTTAATATACAGGTGAGTAGTGTTAAGTACGTTAAGACAGTGCAGCCAATTTACAGAACTTTCTTCATCTTGCAAAACTGGAACTCTGTACCCATTAAGCAATACTCCTCATTCCCCTCTCCACCCCAGCCTCTGCTAACCACTCTTCTGTCTCTGACTTTGATTGCTGTAGATACTTTGGAAGTGTACAGTATTTAAGGCATCTCTTTTTAAATTAGGGGGAACTAGGCAAGGTGAATCACTGAGACCTCCTCTGAACTTCTCCCCTGGATCTTGGGTGTCTTTCATATGTGTGTTTCCCTGTGAAGCTCTGAGGCAGGCTTGGCTCTAGCCCTGGTGGGGTTTCCAAAGGGGATGCTGCCCCCCAGGGTGAGGGGCTATGTCTGAAATGACAGCATAAGTCCTAATGAGAAACTTCTGGTGAGGTGCTAAGAAGGAAGTGAACCACCACCTTGTCTTTCTCAGGAGAAATCGCAGATACAGAAGGATCTCTGGAGGATTGAAGATGTCATCGCAGGCCTGAGTGCAAATAAAGAGAACTTTAGAATCCTGGTGGAATCCGTCAAAAATCCAGGTGAGTGGGCCATCTTCCTGGGGGTAGGGGGTTGGAGGCCAACGCCCACATACATGGGCTGTCCCTTGAGGAGGTCAGGTCTTTATGGCAAAGTCACTCCCCTTGTCCTCCAAGGAAGAGGGTCTTTGTTCCATCTCATCCTTTGTTTCCCTCCATGCTCCTTAGAGAGAAAAACGGTGCCTTTGTTTCCTCACCCGCCTGTGCCTTCACTCTCGACTTCTGAGAGCAAGCCGCCCCCACAGCTCAGCCCTCCTACCAGCCCCGTGCGGACCCCTCTGGAGGTCCGACTCTTCCCCCAGCTGCAAACCTATGTGCCGTACCGACCTCATCCACCCCAGCTGAGGAAAGTGATGTCCCCTCTTCAGTCACCAACCAAGGCGAAGCCCAAAGTTGTAAGTATCGATGACCAGGAGCTGAGTGCCATTGTTTTCTCTCTGGGAGATGATTGTCTCTCTCTGTCCTTAGGTCAGCTTCTGTTGGAAGAGAAGCTTTTGGGGAAACCCGGGGAGATGGAATCAGCCAGAGTCCCGAGCTATGAACAGTTAAAGAGTGGTGGAGCCGACCATCGTGCTCCCAGAACTGGAAGGGCCCTGAGAGAGGATCTAGCCCAGTCTTCCCATTTTACATTTGGGAAAACTGAGGCCCAGCAAGAGGAAATGACTGTGCTAAGTAGGATGGGATTGTGATATAGACCACACAGAGGCAGGTGGCTGCCCCACGCGGACTCCATGCAAACCTGTGGTTACACAAGCTCATGCGTGAGGGACTCCTCGCAGCAAAAGAGCATCTTTGTCTTCCCTGGCAGCTGAGCACTCTGCTGAGTTGTAGGATACAGTTGACCTTCACAGTATGCAGACAGGAAGGTCTCTGTCCCATCCCACACACGAGAGAACTGAGGCCCAAAGGTGTTAGCATTTGCTGAGAGTCTCCACATCTCCTATTTTTTGCCATCTGCCATCTAAGTGGACATTCAGCCCAGCTCCCCAGATCAGGTTTGTGGCCCATGTGGTTGCCCAAGCCAGCACCTTGGCTTGCCTGGCAGAGAGAAGGGCCAGGCTTTTGACAGAGTCTGGGAGCACAGGAAACTTTAAGAAAACAGAAGATATGGTCAGGAACTATGATGGCTCATGTCTCCAGTGCCAGGCTGGGCTTGGCTGGAGAATACAAGGGATCTGGTCCAAGTGACAGGGAAGCCATAGTAAGGGGGACCTTGGGATGGGGACCTCCAGGTTTTGCTAACAAAGGCTTAGAGGAGCTTTGCCTGGGTATGGGGTATGCCTAGGACCTCTGAGAAGGTTGGTGTGCAGTGCTGGCTAAAACACACAAGTTCCCATCTCTTGGCCCTCACTGTCCACCTGCTTCCAGCCATCATCCAGGGCCCAGAGCTGGAAGACACGTGCTGAACTGAGTCAATGTGAATTTCTTCAGATTTTATATCTCCTTCCCAATTTTATATCTAAGAGGCAGTGGGGTACCAGCCACAAAACAGGAGGTGGGGAATCGCAAAACACAGCAGGAATGGCTAGGGCAGACAGCTCCTGACTTAAGACAAGATGCCTGCTAGCGGGATGAGGAGCAGAGGGAAAAGGTGGTAGCCTGGGAGCTGGACTGCCTGGATTGCGGCTCTTGTTCTCTCACTGGGTCCTTGGACAAGGGCTTCCTCAGTTTCCCCTTGTGCACCATAAGCAGCTTGGAATAGATGGTCACAGAGGCTCTTCACAGCTGAGTCCTCTGTGGCCCACGGGCAGGGACTTTTCAAGTTGGCTTGTCTTCTTTCCCTTTGTTCACCAGGTTTACTGTTTGTTATTGTTTGTTTCATGTTTCTATTTGTGAAACAATAATATCCTGAGATTGACCTAAAACATGAATATATAATTTAACAAATAATAAAGAGACCGCCCGTTTATACCAACACCTAAACCGAGAAAATAGAACTTTGTCAGGAACTAGAGACCTCAGGCCCATCAGTCCTTTTCTGCCAGAAGTTAGCCATTATCACTATCTTGACTTTTTGACTTTTTGGATAATTTCCTTCCTTCCTTCCTTTTTTTTTTTTAGTTTTGCTACCTGTGTCGAAATCCGAGTTTTGCCCACATACAGTGCTATATTCTTCTGTATCTTGCACTTGTCTGCAACATTGTTTTTGGGAGACTTAGCCACATTGTTACATGTAGCAATAGTTCTTTTATTTTTGCTTGGCTTATTTTCTTGAAGTTAAGGTCACTTACTTTTCTATTAGATAATATTCTCCAAGGGCACAAAATCAAAAGATACAAAAAAGTATATAACAAAATGCCTCCTCCCACCCTCCATCTCCAGACATTCTTTTCCCTTCAATCAAAGCAGTTTTTGTGTTTGTGTCCATGTTTTGTGTTTACCTTTCTGGGGAGCTTTTTAGAGATTGGTGATTCCAAGACATTGTCAGGGTTGGAAGCCGCTGATGCCCAGAGAGCGTGTGGGTATCTGGGACGGGAGGCTTAACTTTCACACAATAGTGAACTGTGTCACTTTACCAGAATGCTGATAAACCTTCCTAGAGCAAGCTTCAGCACCCTTTCCTGACCTTTCCAGAATCCTGAAAAACAAAGCAAAATTAAACTAAGGAAGGGGGGTGGTTAGGAAGGATGGTCCCTGATTCCAGGAGTGGGTGTTCATGGCAGTCAGGGGCCAGATTGTTGGTCTGTGTAGAAGCCACAGCCCTTAGAGAACATTTATTAGGGGGTGGGGGTGAGTTTCAAGGAAAATAGTTATATTCATCACCGCCCAGCGAGTGGGCTGCCAGGAAGGCAGTGAGTCACCCGTTGCTGACTGCTTATTCAGTCCCCGAGTCAGGAAGGAGGAAATAGTTTGTAACCACGCACATTTCTGGTAGAAAGGGCATGGACAGGGGATGTAGACTGTCCTTGCTCAGATAGCAACCTGTTGAAGGATCCAGAGACCGTGCAGGGACAGTGAGCCTGCTCAGTCTGAGAACTCTGGAGGGGGTGGGTAGGTGTTTGTTCTGCAGGTGGTGGTGGTGGTGGTGGTGGGTTGCTGTCATCGACATACAGATAAGCACAGAGTTGCCAGCCTAGAGCCCCCTCCCCACCTTGGTACGCTTCGTGGAAGTGGAGTAAGACCACAGACCCAGGAGACTGGATTTTGTATAGGTAACGCTTTGAAAAAATGGAAAACAAGTGAATTGAAGGGAAGAATAGTATTTGAGAAAAGGCACCCCCCTTCTCCGCAGCTCATCTGGGGGAAGTGTTGGCATCCCTGGGCTGTAGTGGTCCTACTCTGTAGGCCTGAGGTGGCCCACTCCAGTCTGGTGGGCCACCGCCTCAGTGACGCCACATCTTCCCTCCAGCTCCCTCTCACTGGCACTCATTCTGGTTCTTTCTCTGAGCAGGAAGACGAGGCACCTCCCAGGCCCCCACTCCCTGAGCTCTACAGTCCAGAGGACCAGCCCCCGGCAGTGCCACCTCTGCCAAAGGAGGCCACTATCATCCGGCACACGTCAGTGCGGGGTCTGAAACGGCAGTCGGATGAGAGAAAGCGAGACCGGGAGCAGGGGCAGTGTGTGAATGGGGACTCAAGGGTGAGCAGGGGGGACCTCTGGGGCTGCCCCGCTGTGAGGGGAGGGGAGGTGGCATGATACTGGGCAGGTACGACAGCCTCAGACTCTGCCCACAGGTGGAGCTCCGGTCATACGTTAGTGAGCCTGAGCTGGCGACTTTCAGTGGGGACATGGCCCAGCCCTCCCTGGGACTAGTGGGCCCTGACAGCAGGTACCAGACACTGCCAGGCAGAGGTAAGGCAAACCTGTCCGTGGAGGCTTTCTGGGAAACCCTGCTACGACCATACCACTGCTCCCCAGTCGCTCTTCTGCCTGCAGCTGGGGGCCTCAGCAGCTGTCACGGAGACTCTGGGCTGCAGGGAGGGCCTGTCCTTCCTTCCTCTGGCCTCCATCCTGATTCTCTTTCTCTTTTATCACATTTGCCCCTGGAAATAATGATAATAACAGTTACTTTAAAGCCCAGCACTGTTTCAAGCTCTCTATATTCACCTAGTTAATATTTATAATAATCCTAGGAAGGGAGGGCTATTATTATCATTTCCACTGTAGAGATAAGAGAACTAAGACTCAGAGGAATTAACTAACTTGCCAAATGGCCAACAGGTGATGGAGTGAGAATACAGTCCCAGTGTTCTGACTCCGGAGCCTCTGGCCCTGCAGGCTGGGAAGTTGGGTGACTGCCATCAGTTTCGCCATCTCAGGCCTTCCGGGGGCATTTTGGCTATCCTGTATCATTCAAAGACTCCATGAGTCCCTTCTATAAACAAACACACTTCCCTTCTCCTTGTCCTCCCCTATCCCTTCCAGATGGGGATGGGAGCAGACTTAGGCCCTTAGGCTTACCCATACCCTCTTAGTCCCAACAGCCAGACCCTCTTCTCAGAAATCCTCTTAAAGGGAAGTCTCCTGACCTTTTTGCACCTGGGGCTCCTGGAATCTCTGAGCAGGCTGAACACATTCCTGCATCAGTTCCTCCCCTGATCCTCCTGTCTGCTCCCTAAGGTGGGCGGTCAGTGCTTTCCCCACTGGCCAGGTGCAGAAGCAGAAGGAGCCACAGCTGTGGTTCTGGCACCTGCAGGGTTAGAGGCCTAGGCACGATATGGCCTGAGCTGGTCCCTGGAGGGTGTAGGCTCTGGATTTTGCTGAAGGGGGCCACAGCAACCCTTGGCACTGTGCCCAGGGACACTTCCCTTAATTCGTTATGGCATAGGTGTATATCAACGGCAGTATTAGTGGCATTTGGGGCAGGACGGTTCTTTGTTGCTCAGGATTCTCTTTGCATTTCAGGGCATTTATTGTTCTTTCCCCTATGTGCCAAATGCTAGTGGTGTCCTCAGTGGGTGTGATGCCCATTTCCAGATGTCAGTCAGAAACCAGCCCTGATAAGAATTGGTGTTAGCAGAGAAAGCACAGGCAGTGGCATCAGCCAGCGAGGGTGAGATGATTTCTCTAAGCCATAGGACCGACCCAGATGTGGGAAGCACAGAGTCAATGATATTCCTACAATGTGACTTTGGACAAGTTCCTTGACCTCTCTGAGCCTTAGGCTATGCATCTCTGCAGTGGTCAGGTAATGCTTACATGGTAAGACCGGTGGAACAAAATCTGTATAAAACACCAAGTACAGTGTCTGTCTGTTCCATAGTTAAGTGCTTAATAAATACTTGGTGCTGCTGCTTTCCCTTCATTCATTTATTCCTTCAGTCATTCAGTCGGTCAGGCAGGCATCGTTAAGTTTGCAGGCTAGTTGGTTAGGTGTGTTGGCACTGTGGTCAGTGCAGTAACCAATGCAGGTACTGAAGGATATAGAGGTCAGTAAATTCTGCCTGGGGCATTTGAGAAGGCTTCACACAGGCAGGACATCTAGGTTGGGTCATGCAGGATGCACAGGAGTGCACCAGGAAAAAGGAGGAGGAAGGGCATTCCTTCCTCTTCATCCTTTCTACCTGCCAAGCAGCCCAGGTCTTCTGCATGTGAAGGAAGACTAGGGTGGTCTGTAGATCTCCAGGGACGCTGTACCCCACTGGGGACAAAGAGCACCCCTGGGCTGGCCCCTCCTCCTCTACCAGGCCTTGCTCTTCTAGGCCCTGGGGAGGAAGAGGAATGGGTTGTTGGCTAGGTCCTCATGGTCCCCTCTCAGGAGTGGGAGGTGATTTGGGAGGGGCTGGTGGCCTGTCCACCCCATCATAAATACACTTCTCTTTCCTCATTAAGGGCTCTCAGGGTCCACGTCAAGGCTCCAGCAGTCATCCACCATTGCTCCCTACGTAACGCTCCGGAGGGGTCTAAATGCCGAAAGCAGCAAGGTGACCTTCCCTGTGAGTGGCCTTGGGAGGCAAGGGCTATGAGGTGGATGGTGACTGGCAATCCTGGGAGCCCCAGGGATGGCCTTTGAGGTGACCTCAGCCCCTCCTGAGCTCAGGGTCCCTGTCATCATGTGCTCAGTGATATCTTTCCCACTGCCCACCTAGAAGGGCATCATCTGTCTCTCTTTGTTTCTTGAGGACCACCCCTTGCCTTTCTCTCCAGCCTTTTAGGCTCACAGGAGGGTACCTAGAATGTCTGTACCCTGAGTTCTGGCACCATCACATGCTACATGTGTGTCCAGCTGGACAGGCCTGGGCCTCAGTGTCTGCATCTGCAGAATGGGGTCCTCTTCAGAGAGCCGGAGTATGCTTAGAGGTGTGTGTGTGTGTGTGTGTGTGTGTGTGTGTGTGTGTGTGATAGCGTGTGACACAGAGAGAGAGAAAGAAAGGACAGGAATGATGGCTGCCCTCTGAGGCCCAGCCCAGCTGCCCTGTCTCTCACCCTCCTGCTCCTCAGAGACCCAAGAGTGCCTTGGAGCGCCTGTACTCAGGAGATCACCAGCGGGGCCAGATGAGCGCGGAGGAGCAGTTGGAGCGCATGAAGCGGCACCAGAAGGCCCTGGTCCGGGAGCGCAAGAGGACGCTGAGCCAAGGAGAGAGGACGGGTCTGCCCTCGTCCCGCTACCTCAGCCAGCCTCTCCCTGGAGACCGCGGCTCAGTATGTTAGGAGGGTCCAGGCAGGTGGGGCTGGGACGGGGAGCAGAGCTTCCCTGAGTTCCTCAAACGCAACGAATATCACACCCTGGAGAGAGCAGGCCTTCGACCGAGATGGTTCAGAGAACACCCCATAGGCTGTGTGTCCACAACCTGGGCCACAGCTATGACCTGGTCAGAGGGTGATCCAGACTCAGAGAAGGAGTGAGGATGTCACAGCAGGAGCCTAGGAGCCAGAGCAAGTGTCCCAAGTTTGTTCTCCAAGCTGAACTTGAGAGAGGACTTTGTAACCCTCAGAGTCTCAGCTGGATCAAGGACTTGGGGATAGAGAGTTAAGGAATGGAGGAGGAAGATGGTGATATGATTGGTGAGGAGGAACGCAAGCCAGCTAGCCTCCCAGACCCCTCAGCGATGGCCTGCGAAGGAGCTGAGCACAAGGTTGGGCTCCACAGCCCTGATGGCTGGCGGTCTCCCCCAGCTTCTGGTGCTGGCAGGCCTCATGGTACCCCCCGGAGAGCAGGTGGGGGGGGTACCTGTGCTGCCCCCTGGTGTGCTTCCTGGCGCTGCACCCTGCCCCTTCCCTTTGGGAAACATTCCATCAGACTATTCCGTTTCCCTAGCCCTCTAGCCATACTGCTGTTTCCCTAATTCATCGCACAAGCTCTTTTGCTTTTAGTGTTACCGCTCATTGCCTCTCTAATCCTGCCTGATTGTGTTTACAGAAGCTTCTAATTTGCATTAAACATTCTCAACTGGCCTGTGCTCTTTGTTACCAGGCTTGTAATAGAAGCTCTCATCTCCGTAGCCTGGCTAGCACTCCCATGTGTGACTCACCTTTCTGCTGTGCCCTTGATGCAGGCCTACTGACTTGAAATTCACTTAACCCAGAAGCCGCCCCACAGGGCTGAGCCAACCTGCTGCCTGAGGGCCGTGACCATGGGCAGAGGTCTGGGCATTACGAGTCCATCAAAGTCCATGCCTTACACCCGGACGGCAGACACAGGCTTCAGAGACTGCACGTTTAAATAAATACTACCAATCTAAAGTGGTTCAATTTTAATTCCTCTAGTCCTATCGCACAGTTTCTTATGGAAAACCTTTTGTGTTTCTCGTATTTAGTAATTTGAATGGATGCCAAGATATATTATGTTCTGTATTCAGAGGGGCTCTCTGCAGCTGCTAGCACAGACACCAAAGGGGTAAGACCCAGCACACTCGTATCCTGAAAAGCTGCAAAGCTGGTAACTTTTAAACTTTATAAGCAAATGTCATTTGGGGTAACACTGACCTTTTACAACCTGATGTCTCAAAAATGTAGAAAGATTATCTAAAAATCGTAACTTGAGTATCTTGTAATTTTTCTCTTAAAAAAGACTTGTGTAAGTCTCTGCATCAACGCCAATAAACGTGTTGCTTAATGACAATGGATTGGCGTGGTTCTTCCCCAGGATACATCACAGAGTCTAGTGAACTTTTCCTGTTTGTGGAAACAATCAGGCTGGGTTTCAATGAGGACTTGTCTATTTGGGGCACTTGTGAGCATGTAAGAAAATGTGCATTTTCTTTGTGAATCATTAAATTAATTTTTCATCCTTAAAACTTCAAATGCCTAATCCTTTCATGCTGTAATTGGAAATCATCACCTAAGAGCAATCCCACTGGCTTGGAGTCAGTATTGAGAGCTTGTGCATGAATGGGTGAAATGTGCCAATATGGCCATGGGTTTGGAGCTTTGGGGGTACGTGAGGGGCACCAAAGACAATCATCACTTGGGGCTCTGTGAGATATATGGGGTGGGACGGAGGAGGTCTGCTGGGATGGAGAAGCATCTGCTTGGTTTCTGCTCAAGAAAAGAGAGGCTTTGAGGCTGTTCCCTCCTCTCAACAACCTCCTCTCAACAACAATCATGACCATAGATGATTTGAAAGGCCCCCGCAGAATCGCAGAGTTGCGTTTGGATCTTAAAATGGCCAGTTTAGTTTTTCCCTCTGTGAAGTTACTTAGTACCTAAGTACTTAACTTAATACCTACTTGGTACCTAACTTAGTACCTAACTAAGTTACTTAGTACCTAGCTGGCACTAATGAAGAACCTGGGAAATGTTGTGTTTGATTTAGCATTTCAATTGTACGTAGTTTCATTGTTTTTCTAACTTAAAGTGTCTGCCCCCAAATAGATGCCTGGGTAAGCAGTAGTTTAGCTGCCTCCCTAGGCCCAAGCCATTCCTGCTTGGACATTCCCTACCCTACTGTGGGTGCAGTACCCCCCACTCTTGGGACTATCCATTAGAGGTCTTGGCTATTGGTATGTGCTTACCAGGGCCTCAAAGGGCTTGTTTTTTCCATCACTTCTGAGCTGAGTTGTATGGATTCCTGAACTAGAAAGGCTTCCACAAGCTATAGGGCAGCTTCTTTGGAGCTCTGTCCAAGGGTCTGTTTTGGGGTCACCCTCTTAGACTGACAAACTTCCTGTATCTGGGGACCATTGTGAGTCTGAAGTTCATGGGTCTTAGAAGTGGGCTCTAGAGGTATGTGGGTGAATCCTCTGGGGGCCCAGATGGGAGAGAAATCAGCAGCCATCAGGCCATATAAATGAGGCATAGGCCTCATTCTCCATTACATGGGGTTACAGCAACCCACAGGAACCACCCATGTCCCACAACCACTGCCTTGACTTGGAGGTGAGGTTGAGGGGCTCATGGTCACACAGCTTTTCCCCAGTGGGTCACAGGCCCCCTTCCCAAGGACCCCAGTACTTGCAAGCCCCATCCAAAAGGGGACAAGCCTAGCTCTTGTAGCAGTCATGAAGTGACTACATTTAACCTTCTTGTTCTGTTGCCAGTGGAAGCGCGAGCAGGACTTTGACCTGCAGTTGCTGGAACGGGCCATGCAAGGGGAGAGAAAGGACAAGGAGGAAAATGGCTGGTTGAAAGTGCAGGCCATGCCTGTCACTGAGTTGGACCTGGAACCTCAAGACTATGACTTGGACATCAGCAGAGAGGTGAGGGCAGGGGCTTCCTTCGTGTCCCCCCCCCCCCACCAGGAGAAACAGCCTTTGGCTTGTGGCCTGACCACCCCACCCAGTGGCACTGGGGGGAGGTGTTGTCCTGAATGGGGACAAGGCTCAGTGTCAGTGTGGCCAGGAGAATGGATGAATAGCAGCTCGATGCAATAAAAGGACCCAAGGCATTTTTTAAAAAAAAGATATTTATTTTTGTGACAGAGTGAGAGAGAGAAGAAGGGAGAGAGAGAGAGGGAGGACAAGCAGAGGGCAAAGTACACTCCCTGCTGAGCAGGGAACTAGATGTGAGACTCGATCCCAGCACCCTGGGGTCATGACCTGAGCCGAAGGCAGATGCTTAACTGACTGAGCCACCCAGATGCCCCAGAGCTAAGGCCTTTTTTTTTTTTTTTAAGATTTTATTTATTTATTTGACAGACAAAGATCACAAGTAGGCAGAGAGGCAGGC